GCCTGGGTTACACTGTGAGGTCAAGGCCATCCTGAACTGCATAGCGAGACCCTGTCTCAAAAAGACAAAAAGGAGGGGCTGGGGATTTAGCTCAGCGGCAAAAGCGCCTGCCTGGCAAGCGCAAGGTCGTGAGTTCAGTTCCCGGTACCGGAGAAAAACCAAAAAAAAAAAAAAAAAAAAAAAAAGAAAAAAAAAAAATAGTGCTACTCCAATTTAACTTAAAAATGGACAAAGGATGTGGACAATTTATAGAAGAAATTCAAATAGCCAAAAATATGAAAATGTAAGAAAGGCAAGCACTGTAGGGTAGCTTTTGTTCATTTTGTTCAAACAGGTAGGTAAAGATGGAGCTAGGTGTGGTGGTGCGCGCCTGTGACCCTAGCACACCGGAGGCTGAGGCGAGAGGATAGCAAGTTCAAGACCGTCTTGGGCTCAGTAGTGGAGTTCAAAGTCAGCCTGGACTGCACAGCAAAAGTCTGTTTCAAAGCAAAACTACACCTGGACGTAGTGGTACATGCCTATAATCCCAACACTCAGGAGGCTGAGGCAGGAGGATTGCCTCAAGTTTGAAGCCAGCCTGGGCTACACAGTGAGTTCAGGACCAGCCTCAACTACATAGTGAGACCCTGCCTCAAAACAATACAGAACAGAACTTGTCCAGCCTTTTTGGAAGGCAACTTGGCAGCACCTCTTTCTCAGTGGCAAATATGCAAATTCCCTTTGACTCAGTAAACCCTGGGCCGGAACCCAGGGCCGCGGTGAACTGTGACTCCCTCCTCCCCTCAGTGAGCCACGGTCAGCTGGGCAGGAGAGGGCGGCTGGCGGATCAACGGGAGCCTTGTGCACTTCGCCGCCGTGGGAGGCTCAAGGGGGAGGCTTTGCGGGGGAGCGGGGAGGTTGTTTGGAGCCTTTATCGCCCGGTGTGACCCGCTGATAGCAGCAGCGAGGAGCCGGGCACACATCAATCAGCCTGGTCAGCTGCCACTCTGGCTCCGCAAACACCCCGAGTCCAGTCACCAGTGAATCAGCGCCCACTGCCCTTGGCCGGCAGGTTGGGAGGTGACGCGGTACGGCATGACTAACCGTGCGGCAGGCTCTGCGCTGGCGCGGGGTGACGGAGAGTACAGGCCAGCTGGGTAGCTGCCCTCCGTGAAGTGGGCAAGCGACATTTCCCGGGCCTACCTCAGTTTCTCCTTTCTCTTTTTTAAAAATTCAATTATTTACTTATTTATTTTGCAGTACTGGGGATTAAACCCAGGCCTTTTGCAATGAGCTACATCCTCAGCCCTTTTATTTTTATTTTTATTTTTTTTTTT